GCCCCGCCCACCGCCGCCGCCCGGTGGCCAATGGCGGAGCTCGGCGCCGCGGCGCCGGCCCGGGAGAGGCCGCCGCGGGGAGGGCTGACGTCACGGGGCACCCCGCCCCGCCCCCGGCGCGCGGGGCGGGACTTCCGGGGCACGCGGCGCCAGGGACACGTCGGCAAAGGGTTGCCCGGGCGCCCACGTGTCTGCCCGCGGGCGGGGGCGTGGCCCGGTGGAGCCACGCCCCCYTCTGTGACGTCACAATGGCACGTCACAGGCGCTACGTCACAGCCGCGGGCTGGGGCGCACCGCTGGGGGCCCGCGGCCGGAGCGGGGGCTCCGGACCGGACCGTTCCGAACCGGGCCGGGCCGGACAGAGCCGAACCGGCCCGGAACGGCCCGCTCCCGCCCCCGGGGCCGGCAAAGCCCCGGTGATCCCATCACGGACTCCCCGGGAGTGGGGGAAGCCCCTTCCTTGTGCAGCCCCCGACCTCCTGTTTACATTATATGCACTTTACCTTATATATATATGTGTATATATATATATACATATAGATGCACGTGTGTATGTTGATGTGCATGTGGGTGTTTTGGCCCCGGGGGTTCATGATGGGTGCACGGGCTCGGACACCCCGGCATCGGCTCCGTTATCCYGGCTCCCAGCGCTTCCCAGGCTGCCCGTGTCCGTGCCGCCCTCCGCAGGGAAGGGGGCAGCCGGAGGGCCGGGAAGGGCCCGTCCCCTGCCCCACGCGGGCTCCCTGCCCCGTGTCCCCTCCTGCAGTCTCCAGAGAGCGGGATCCGGGATTGGTTGCCTAGGAAACCCCTGGGAAAAGGGGCTGGGACAGTGTTGGTTCCTCTGCTGATGGGAGGCACGGAAGCACGGAGCAGCAGCAGGAGCCCCTTGGGAAGTGATTCCCAAAGGCCCCAGGGAAGCCGGACCGGCTGCCTGACTCCAGCCGTGGGAGGCTGGGTCTTTCCCTGGCAGGATCCTCTGGAGCCGGGCTCCATCCCAGCCACGCCGGCCCCGGAGCAGCCTGTGCATCGCCCCAGCACACCTGGAGATGGGTGGGAATGCCCGGCACGCTCCATGGCCGCTGCCTACTCCCTGCATCCATGGAACAGGCTGRGGACCCACATGGAAGTGGCTCTGCAGCCACAGGAGAGGTGGTGACAGGGACCCATGTCCGGGGCCACCATGGCACCTGCCAGAACTGAGCAGCCARCAGGGACACAGGTCCCCAAGCCACGAAAGCGCGTGCCAGGTCATGCCAGGCTGTGCCGGGGCAGTGCGTCCCCCACCTCTCCTTGTACAGCACTGCATCCCTGTTCCACATTCCCGGTCGTGCATCCCCATCCTGCATCCCTGCCCTCTTC